AAAACAGTCAAACTGGTATTCAGAAATGTGGGAGATTTATGACATCCGGTTCACTTGTGTGAAGAAGCCATGCATTTCTGATAGAATATAATATGCATGTTAGGCTGATTTGTATAAATGCGTTTTGTTCCGACATCTAATACGGTATCTTATTGTTTATTCTGTCGTATAATACAACATGGAGCTACGCATAAACGAAGTCTAAATGAACTCGTCAGGTCTTCCTATACTTAGACTACAAGTAAACAATAGTGCTGGATGTATAAGCTTCTAGTGGCATTTTACTCGCGTGTATCACGCAGGTGGAGACGCCACACGTTACACGCCTGATTTTCTCCAAATTGGTTTAATCGCTTGTAAATGCTACTTTTTATTTGTTCCAAGAACTACTCCTGAAGAAAATAAACTTTCTTTCAACCAAGGAATTGTTCCATTATATCTAAAACCGTCACAGAATAAGAAAAAGTTGAAATGTTCATTAACCGACGTGTTCTTTTGATGATTCAGTTACACGCGTTTTGCCTACAACGAAGATATCGGTGAGGAAATTCTTACATCGTTATGTCAGTGCAAAATGCAGCAGTGTCTCCATTTATGAGCTTTGATATGTAGACTACGCCACGTGATAAGTCTGCGTATGTAGAGTGCTTCAGTACAGTTTCCAAGGCGCTTACAGATACGTACATATTTCCTACAGAAGAAAATTATTGCGAATCGTAGGATATTCCATCGTTAGTAATGTATGATCCGAAGCTTTCACGGGATTAAGTATAATAAATTCTTCCCGGGCTATAAGCCGTGTAAGGTGGCGTAATGAAGAAAATACCAACGTCCTCAAGAACCACCTTCGTCCTCAGGGTACTAAACTTCAGCCCGAGATGAATTCATTATCCTATCGTTAGGTTTATATCGCGAAGAAAAGATAGACTGGGTAAAGTATCTCGGATGAGAAATACCTACAGAGTTTTGGAGGGGAAATCTGTTGTAAAACCAAGGTGATGGCAAGAAAATATTACGATAATAATAGACAATTTGTTGTATAATGGGTTGAAAGTGTTTTGGTAATTGTGATGTAGATATTAAATGAATAAATTAATGATTTACCGTGCCACAAAACATGATTATGGAAGATACTATCATGAAATTCGTGTGTAAGGATAGGCATTGACTGATTTTGATGTTTTCGAGAACTTTTTTTAACTTTATTTGTATGTAGTGTCGAACAACTATGGATGATCATGAATGGTGTGCAAGTAATAACTTGAAACGAGGCCTTTACGTGCAGAGACTAAGAAATACCAAGACAGTCTTGAAGATGGTCTGTGAGCAGACAGAGATTCGAACCGGCTACCTCCCGATTACATGATGAGAGCGTTATTCGTACGCCAGCCTGTCTGGTACGAGGGCTGAAGAACGTTAGAATAGCATGAAGGTAGTCTGTTACAAAATTCAGTGCACGGATCACGGGAGTCAGACACGCGATGCGCCGAGCCAACTCGCTATTGAACCGAAAGGACTGTAATGCCTCTGCAGGAGGGATCGAGGTTTTCGTCCCTGAGGTTGAATCTACGCAGCTTCATGATAATTATTACTTATTAGCATGCTATCTTCCCCCCACACCGTCCCGCAGCTCGTCTGACGAGGTACTACCACATAATTATTCGTCTGGCTACGGAATTACAATTACAGATGGGCAGGCTTTGTGGGCTGTTGTCCCCTGCCGTCTCCGCGCAGAACAACATCTGGACGCTGTACTCAGGGACCAGAGACCGGAGTGGCCGTTGAATTAAATGTAGTTTTCATGTCATGTGGTATGCACTGAACGTTTTCATCGTCGATGCCCATGGTCTTTTCAGCCAAAGAACTGAGATTAAAGTTACCATTACAAATACTTTATTTTCCATAATGACTGCTTGAATAATTAACTCCGTTACGTATTTATTTTTGTGATATATTTAACGGTTTCGAGTGTTGTTCAGGGTAGAATGAATTGGAAAGTATATGAAAGAAAGTGATCTTGACTTAATTTGAAGTAATGTCCTGACATTTGCCTGGAGGGATTGAGAGAAGCCACGAAAAGCCTCGGGATAACCAGTCTTCAGGACGAGATTAAAACAGGAAGGATAATTGGCGGCGACGTTCGGTAACTTCTTACTGCAGAGTCGTCCTTGAGAAGCTAATATTCACTCGAGTTATAAAAAATCCCTACCTTTTATAGAACCCAAAGGTTCATTGCCGTGTTCACAATAGCCCGGCTTAGATCCCTGTGCTAAGCCAGTTGAATGCAGTCCACACCCTTCCATCTTATTTTCTTGGGCTTGTATTGGTTGAGAAATTTCCCTTCTTTTATGGAACCAGAAGATTCATTGCCATAATCACAACAGGTTACTGGACCCAATACTACGACGACAGTCAATACCTTACACCCTTAATAGCTGTCGCCACCTAGGTCTCTTTATCTGGGCCTAACTGGCGAAACAGCATAATAGTAAGAGCTAATTGTGAAGATGATGTTCATGATATCATCATTATCATCACACCATGTTACACGGTGTCTTCCCATAACCCAGGGTCAAGCTTTGCCGTCGTAGCTTCTGTGTGGCAAGTACATCTGAGATTAATAAAAGTGCTGTGTAGTTTACGCTACATCGTTTACCGCGGTTATTCAGCAAAATTAATTTCTTAAATTTGAAATGATCTTCATAACCTTCTAATAGGACTCTAAGACGATTGTGTTACCGGTAATTATCGATATCACTTTTTCGTTCAAATTCAGTTATTATCGAATACATTCGCTTTCACACTGTATTATTATTATTATTAATTAATTATTATTATGAATCAATTGTGTTATTATTATTAAATAAATTGAATTATTATAATATTTAAATAGTATTAAAAATATATTAAAATTAGCCGTCAATCACAATATAATATAATTAAAAGATTAAAATATTCCCTATCGAGTACTCGATTTACATGTTGAATATACACGACATGTTTCGGCTATATATAGCCATCATCTGGTGTTATGTATATATACTATTCACTGAATTACTGATTTTTTACTGATTTTTAATGTTTTTTTAGTTTTCATTTTTCTTTTGTTGTTCTTGTCCTTTATATTGTTTCTTCTTTCGTTGTAGTATCACAGGTCACTAATATGTTTGTATTTCGTATTTCGTAGTGATGTCAATGTTTTGTATATGGACTGTGAAGTAAAGGTTTCAAACTATTAATGAAAATTGAATATAGAAAACAAAATAAATAGTTGAAATTAATCATGTGAACTTACCCAAGAAGTAATATCGTATCAG